ATTTTTTAATTCATTTTGTTATTTTCAAATTTGTACATTTAAATGGTTCTAACTTCCAGATAAAATGATTTTTGATGTTATTGTGAGACTTCTTCATATTTTTGGGATACTGAACTGTAATGTTTTCTTAAAACTAGAGTCTATTTTGTTATACTGTCTGCTTATAAATTTATGGAATCCCAGATACTTGATGCAGCATCCGTAATTTTCATTTTTGGATTTCTAGCTGGATTAGTACTAATTTTATACATGTTTAACTGGTCTGTACACTTTGGGATGGTACTTGAGGAAGGTTTCTGACTAATCTTAAAGTCATTGTAATTAATACTTACCTATTCAACATTTTGAATAGGCCCTATTTTGGCTGAAGAGTGACATATAGTTATGACCATTTTGCAGTTCATGTTTAGGAACTTAATATGTTTTTATGTAGGTATTCCAACTGCTTCTATTATCCTGTGAACTAAACACACTGCATAGCACTGAGTCTTCTGATAGATGCTTATATGCTGCATTGTTTCAGTCCCCTCTGGGAGGCCTGTAACATCTGTAGATCAGAACAGAGACCAGAATCTATAATATGGTCCCTTTCTCAAACTGAGCAACTAAACCACTTCAAGATAAGCTTTGGCAAAAGTTTTCTCTGATAACTCTGTGCTCGCATTTGGTATCGTGAAAGTTGGCTTTATAATTATCTTGAAGATTATATCAACACAATGACACTTCATCCCTCTTTCCCTTTCCATCTTACAGATTATTTAGCATAATGTGGAAATTTAAATTGGAGGAAATTTTTAAAAGGGACTTAAGTGATCTGTAGAATGCTTTTGTTCATGAGTACAGATGGCTATTGAATAGAACTTGTTTAAAATTTCAGGCAATTAATTTGAAGACCAAAAAAACCAGATGTAAATTGTATATTTGAATTTATATTTTAAACCGTTAGCATAAGTTAAGAATTGGAAATTTTATTTTGCCTTTACCAAACTACACTATTAATTCTAATCACTGTTTTAATATTTCCCAATTACCTGTAACTGACAGACCAAGTTAATTGGCTTTGCATCCCATTTAATCCACCAGTATTTTCAAACCATGAGGAATGCCCAAAGTCAGCACATTAAAAGAAACAGGTGCACAATAATGTTCTACTTGTTTTCTTGAGAAGTCTCTGATTTCTGTGTACTTAGCCCAAATCAAACTTGCTTTGTCTTACAAGTGAATTGCATCTCTGCTGGCTTGGTTTTTCCTACATATTTAACAAAAAGACAAGTGTTCCTGATAGATTTCCTACAGAAGGCTAGCTCTATTGCAAGTTTCCCACTGTGACTTCTACTATTTTGAAAATTATTAAAAAGCCACATCTATTAAACAGTCATCTTCATTGTTGGCCACTTCAACATATGTCTGATGTTAGGAACCTTAGTTCCTCTAAGCAGTGCCTTATGCATATGTAATAGTACTTTCTGGTGCCAGGGTATTCACATTCTCATTTCTGTTACCATGTCCTACCACTTTCCTCCTCCCATGCCATTGCACAATGAGCCTCAGAGCTCCCATCCATTCATTAAGCAAACAACCACAAATAAAATTGCTGTTAAAATCTTGCTACTTCATAGACTGACTTCAAAAAGGATGTTTCTTCCCCGAGTCTGTGTAAATATCTTTTTACCCTTCAAGTTTTTCTTTGTTTTGAAACTCTAACATGATTCCTGGGTAGTTCTCTGGGGTACAACGAAGTCCAGTGAAGAGCATCTTGTCTATTTTGAAAACAAACATGTGATCCCTAGCAATTCTTTTTCTGTCTGAATACTGACTTTCTAGAGAAATTACTATGTCAGTACATGACTGCTTAGTTAAATGTGCAAATGTCATCACATATGCATCCTTGTTTGATTATTCCTTCTGGTTTGTGCTGTTATTAAAAGCATATTTTATTATAGACCTATTCAAATATTTTAAATATAAATAAGTATTGTTCCCATAAGATAAACTTAAGAAACATATTTAGGTAATAGATTCATTACTTGGAAAGTTCTGCTTTGACACTGACAAAGTCTAAATTAACTAGCAAATGTATGCCGATGAGCAATAAATCAATGGAATATTCCAAGAAGAGAGAGGACACTTAAAATGGAAATAGTTCTCCAATAGTCTACCATTTTGAATTGTTCAACTAGTGGATATGTTACCAATACTCACCCCCTACCTACCTTGAAATTCTTAACATTCAGCTCTTAAGAGTTCTTAATTTATAACTGATTTTTAAATGAGAAGTTTCTCTTGTGGTTTCAGTTTGAGAGTAATCATTTATTTAAAAATGCAATGTGGTATATGCAAGCAAACTGGCATTACTCTTGGTCTCCTTCTTGAAGGTGGCGCACAGACTGGCAGTGTGGCCAGATGTAGCCATTTAAGTTCTGTCAAGATATAGTCATACCCTCACAAATTTCACTACCCAAGTATTTAATGAGGAGCCTCGGTGGCTCAGTTGGTTAAGTATTAGACTATTGATATGGGCTCAAGTTGTGATCTCAGAGTCATGGGATCAAGTCCCAAATCAGGCTCTGTGCTTAGTGGAGACCACTTGGGATTCTCTCTCTCCCTCTCTCTCTCTGCCCCTCCCCTGCACTCATGCATGCGTGTGTGCTCTCTCTCTTGCAGAATGAATAAATAAACCTTAAAAAAAAAAAAAAGAATTTATTAATAGTGAAGAGTCCATGCTCCTATTCTGATACTCTCTCAGAAGTGCCTGATGATGCTGATGTACTTCCAAACACAGGAACAATCTTTGCTATTACTGTACAAAGCCATAAGTATACATAAATTATGTTTAAAAAGAAAAACATAAAACTGGCACTATTTGAAGATGACATGATCTATATAGATATATATAAATCTTGAGGAGTCCACCAAAACCTACTAGAAGTAATAAATGAATTCAGTAAAGTTGCAGGATGCAAAACCAATACAGGAATGTGTTGTATTGCTATACACTAATAATGAACCAGCAGAAAGAGAAATTTAAAAAATAATCCCATTTACAATTATGCCAAAAAGAATAAAATACTAAGGAATAAACTTAACCAAGGAGGTAGAAGACCTACACTCTGAACCCTATAAGACACTGATGAATGAAATTGAAAATGCCACAAATAAACGTAAAGATATTCCATGTTCATGGACTGGAAAAATTAATATTGTTTAAATGTCCATACTACCCAAAGCAATCAACAGATTCAGTGTGATCCTCATCCTAATACCAATAGTAATTTTTGACAGAACTAGGGACAAAGAATCCTAAAATTTATAGGGAATCACAAAAGACCCCAAATAGCCAAAACAATCTTGAGAAAGAAGGACAAAGCTGGAGGTAATACAATCCCAGATTTTATACTATATTATAAAGCTACGGTATTCAAAGCAGTATGGTACTGGCACAAAAACACATAGATCAATGGCACAGAATGGAAAGCCCAGAAATAAACCCATTCTTACATTGTCAATTAATCTGTGACAGAGGTGAAAAGAATATACAATGAAGAAAAGACCGTCTCTTCAGTAAATTGTGTTAACTGGACAGCTACAGGCAAAAGAATGAAACTGGCCCACTTTCTTACACAATACATAAAAATAAACTCAAAATAGATTAAAGATCTATATGTGACATCTGAATCCATAAAATTCTAAAAAAAAAAAAAAAAAAAAAAAAAAAGAAAAGAAAAAAGAAAAGCCAGACAGTAACATCTTGGACATTCACCTTAGCAATATTTTTCTGGATCCGTCTCCTCAGCCAAGGGAAACAAAAGCAAAAATAAACTATTAGGACTACATCAAATTAAAAAGCTTTTCCACAGGAAAAAATTATCAACAAAACCAAAGGCGACCTACTAAATGGGAGAAGATATTTGCAAATGATATATCCAACAAGGAATTAATATCCAAAATATATGAACAACTTCTACAACTCAACACCAAAAAACCACAAATAGCCCCATTAAAAAATGAGCAGAGGACCTGATTCAATGTTTTTCCACAGAATACACACAGATGGCCAACAGACACATAAAAAGATGCTCAACATCAATAATCATCAAGGAGATGCAAATTAAAACCACAATGAGATATCACTTTATACCTTCAGAATGACTAGTATCAAAAAGACAAGAAATAACAAGTATTGGCAAGGATGTGAAGAAAAGGAAACCATTGAGCACTGTTGGTGGGAAGGCACAGCCACTATAGAAAACAGCATGGAGGTTCCTCAAAAAATTAAAAATAGAAATACCATATGAGCCAGTAATTCCACTTCTGGGTATCTACACAGAGAAAACAAAAATACTAATTCATAAAAATATATGGCCCCCCCCCCGTTTAATCTACTATTATTTACAATAGCCAAGAAATGGAAAAAACCTAAATGTGCAACCATGATGGATAAATGGATAAAGGTGTGATACATACACACACACGCGCGCGCACACACACACACACACACACACACACACATGCGGAATATTACTCAATCATAAAAAAGAATGAAATCTTGCCATTGGTAACAACATGGACAGACCTAGAGGGTATTATGCTAAGTGAATAAGAGAGAGAAAAAGACAAATAGCATGATTTCACTTGTGTGTGGAATCTAAAAAACAAAACAAACAAAACCAGAAACAGACTCATAAATACAGAGAACTGATGGCTGCCAGAGGGGAGGAAGATGAAGGGATGGGCAAAATAGGTGAAGAGGGTTAAGAGGTACAAGCTTCCAATTATAAAATAAATAAGTCACAGCGATGGAAAGTAGAATATCGAGAATATAGTAATATTGTAAAAACTTTGCATACTGACAGATAGATGAAAGCTACACCTATCATGGTGAACATTTTATAATATACATCATTTTTTAATCACTATGTTGTACATCTGAAACTAACATAATAGCGTATATCAACTATGCTTCAATTTTTTTTAAAAAAAAGAAAAAAGTTTTCACTGACCTGGTGCGACCACATTCACTCTAATTTTCTTTCTTGCTACTTCTTTAGCAAGAGCACGTGAAAACCCAACTAATCCTCCTTTACTGGCGCTGTACACAGACTGGCCAGAATTGCCTTTTAAACCAGTAATACTTCCTAGAAAAAATAAAATGAAAGCAAATTCAAACCAATTAATGGATTACTTGAATATTTAGATAATCTTACAGGAAACAAACAAAGGCACAAAGCATTTTACTGTGTCCTTTGCTAAAATTAGGAATTCTAACCAGCATCATTTGAGTAGTAAGACTTAGGGTTGGAGTCTGCTCCAGATACAAACAGAAAACAGGTTCTGAAAGAAGCTTACGTAAAACTTCGTATGTCAGGCAAGGGCTTGAGAACTGATCCATTAAGTGAAAGAAACCCAATCTCATCTCTTAGTAGGTGAGACATGGTGAAAATCCTATAGTATTTTTAAAGGCTTCCAGTAGGAAGAGGTTAAAACCAGAAAAAGTCAGACAAAGGCTGATTAATTTTATGATTCTACAACACAGATTAAGGACATATTCATTTCCAACTAAAAAAAATAGTTCATCTGAAGATAAATCTCACTAAGTTTGAACTACCATCAATCTAAATTAACTAAGGTTCATTATAAGCTTTTTGTAAAACTGCAATTTAGTTATCTTCAGTGATGTATTATAGCTAGTACTGCCTACTAAAGATTCTTGGGTGGTCTCATTTATATGAATATGAAAGAATAATTTATAATTCAAATATCAACTGTATGCAAATAAATTCTGGTAAAATAGAAGTGGGGAAACAATTTTCTGCACCAGTGACCTGTACTTATGATATAAAAATTAATCAAGAACTTCACAAAACTTTCGAAAAAGTAATTTTATTTTAGGAAAAGAAAAACACCCCAAACACTTTTTATATTAATATATCTACATTATATATTACATGCCAGTTAATGACAGAGGAAAAGAACTGTGAAGCACAGAAAGAGAGAAAAGAGGGGCACATAGGTGGCTCAGTTAAGCATCCGACTCTTAAATTTAGCTCAGATCATGATCTCACAGTTCGTGAGTTTGAGCCCTGAGTTGGGCTCTGTACTGACAATGTGGAGCCTGCTTAAGATTCTCTCTCTCTCCCCCCCTCTCTCTCTGCCCCTCCCTGGCTTGCTCAAGTGTGCACATTCTCTCTCTCTCTCTCTCAATTTAAAAAAAAAAAAGAAGAAGAAGAAGAAAGAGAGGAAAAAAAACATCAGAGAAAACACAGAGAAATGGGTATTTGGGAGAAAGAGAAATATGGAGAGACACAAAAAAGAAAGAAAAATATAGGCATGGAAGAAAGGCCAAATAGGAAACTTTAGTTCATGCCACACACTATTGTTCATCTAGTGAGTAAGTGTTAACTCCTAAATCAATGAACTTTTGGTAGTTTAAAGTAGTCCTTTCTGTAAAAAGATTCTCCTAATATATTTTCAATTATTATTTACTTTTCACACAATTCTAAAAGTTTTGCATGTACACAAAGGACTGATGTGGGTTTTTTAAATATATCTAAAAAGGGGATATTTTAGAGTTAAACAATACACCCATATTATCAGGTGACACATACAGGCCAGTATACCAGCTTCTGAGAATCCAAAATCATTACCTGGCTGTGTTACAAGGCAAAGGTCAACTAAATCTTTTACTTTTTAATCATTTACTAATCTTTTTTAAGAAAACCTATTTCTTACATTTTTAAGGGTAAATGTCAAAAATGTTCTAATTCTTATTAGCACAGTATTCGTGTTGCATCTTCAAAAGAGAAAAACCCTACATTTTGGCTTGGACAGCCATTTCCTATATTAAAAACAACAGGGCCATTTACTCTAATGGAGCAGCATTCCCCTTTTGCAGCCTTTTAAGGTATGACCACTTAAAATTAAAAGGCAGATGATATGCTATTTTCAAATTACCAAACTGAAATAAAATTCTAAGTCATTTTGCGTTTTAAGGTCTACAAACACACCTATGTGGTTTATCTACTACTCCATGGGTCAGATGAACTGAAAACTAGGGGTTAGTTACAGTCACTCTAAAAAAACTAAAAAGATTATTCACTGAAAACTTCCTCCTAAACCTCTGTACTAGATTTATCAGTGACACACATAACTGCTGTAGAGATCATTTTCTATCCTCCACTACCTAAAATTTTTCAATCTACTTTCCTTATCTGTATTTTAAAAACCAGGTTTCACATGAAAATCAGGGTGACCAATTTCTCTTAAAAAGTAAAACAGCTTGGGGCGCCTAGGTGGCTCAGTCAGTTAAGTGTCCAACTTCAGCTCAGGTCATGATCTCACAGTTCATGAGTTCGAGGCACAAGTCGGGCTCTGTGCTGACAGCTCAGCCTACAGCCTGCTTCAGATTCTGTGTCTCTCTCTCTCTCTCTGGCCCTCCTCCACTTGCTCTGTGTCTCTTTCTCTCAAAAATAAATAAAAACATTAAAAAAAAAATGTTAACATTTTGATCACTAGAAAGATGTGAATCTGTGATTCCCGTTTTACCCACTAATCACCTAATCAAATCCTTTTTCCACAAATAAAAAGACCCATTTCATCCAAGTTTCACACATGAATAAACTCCAAATTAGTCAATTAAATATTTTTATGGCACTATGAGATAAATAATTTCACAGGTGAAGACTCACCTACATTAACAATAGATCCTCTCTGTTGTTGAATCATAGTCTTCAAGGCAGCTTTACAAGTCAGCATGGAACCCAAGAGGTTAGTATGAAGCTGGGATACCATATCTTCAGTTTTTGTTCTTACTAAAAGGCTATCCCTACAAAAAACAGCAGTGGCATATAAATTAAAAATGGGATAAAACAAATTTAAAAAGACAAGAAGTATATATTTGAGCTAGAAAGCCTAGAGAGTCCCATTTTAAATGATTTGAGAGGCATTAAAATAAGTGATAAACTAGAAAAGATAACTTAGAAGCTGGCTGAGAGGCGAATATTCCTATCAGCTAAAAGTAGCCAAAAAAGCTTAAATAAACTGAGAAAATCCCATATTATAGTAAGCCTTGTTAGCAAGAAAATTAATATACTATTCTAAGTATTCTGTCCTAAATTCACCTTTTAAAAAGAAAAAAAATATCTACTCTGATACCATTAAGTTCACGAACTGAAAAAACTTATATAATGGTGACAGAAGTCAGAATAGAGGTTATCTATAAGTATTAACTGGGAAGAAACTAAAGAAAGCCTTCTAGAGTGCTAGAAATGTTCTACAGTTCACTATGAATGTGATTACACATGTTAAAATTGATCAAATTGTACCCTTATTGTATATCTCAATATAAAAGGAAGTATAGATAGACCAATTTTTAAAATACATATTTTCTTCCACTTAGAAGTAAAGTAAGTTAATATATTTACTCATACCAAAACAAACAATTAGAAAAGTACTTAAGTCTGTGACTAACCTGTTAATTCCAGCTGCATTTACCAAGAAATTAACTCGACCTAAATTTTTCTCCATCTTTTCAAATGTATTTTGGACATCACATTCTTTGGCAACATCACAGCTAAATGCCAAATGATCTCCTAGACAACAGAGTTAAATTAGAACTACTTATAAATTATGACTTGAATTTAAAAATTATTCAATACACATTTGTTAAGCATCTACTAGGACCTACACCTGTGCTAAATTAGAACCTACAGATAAAAGATGATTATGTCATGGATTCCTCTACTCATGGAGTTCAGTCTAATAAAATTGGGATGGAGGTCGGTGGGGAAGTAAACCTTAAAAATATTTCTTCATCAACAAAAAATGGCAGGAGGGCCCTTTTTATGTTCATAAGGCTTTGTAAGACTCATCTAACAATATTTATAGCTTCCACAATGACCCCATGCTACCCAATTCAACAGTGTTCTGGGTTTTATATTTTTTTGAAATTTATGGGACAACTGGGTGGCTCAGTTACCTAAGCCTCTACTCTTGATTTCAGCTGGGGCCATGATCTTGCTGTTCCTGAGACTGAGCCCCAAGTCAGGCCTGCACTGATAGCTCAGGGCCTGCTTGGGATTCTCTCTCTCTCTCTCTCTCTCTCTCTCTCTCTCTCTCTCTGTTTCTGCCTCTCCCCCACTCACCCTTTTTCTCTCAAAATACACATTTTTTTTAAAAAATAAATTTATGTAAAGGGGCGCCTGGGTGGCGCAGTCGGTTAAGCGTCCGACTTCAGCCAGGTGACGATCTCGCGGTCCGTGAGTTCGAGCCCCGCGTCAGGCTCTGGGCTGATGGCTCAGAGCCTGGAGCCTGTTTCCAATTCTGTGTCTCCCTCTCTCTCTGCCCCTCCCCCGTTCATGCTGTCTCTCTCTGTCCCAAAAATAAATAAACGTTGAAAAAAAAAATTTTTTTTAAATAAATAAATAAATTTATGTCTAATTGTTACAGTTGTGTTTAACTGGTTTCCTGATCCTGAGAATATACCCTAGGGTTTCTCACACTTTTTTTTTTTCTACTATGGCACATATATTAGAATAACTATTATTCAAGGCTGACCATTACAAAGCAGGAAGCTGTAAAAACAAAATGCAAAAACTAAAAAACACACCAAAAAAAAATAACTTTTTACTAAAAACAACTGTTACTTCCCTTTAAGTGTCCATTTTTAAAAAATGCATAAATATCAAAAGAATACACTTCAAAGAAAGCATTCTCTATTTAATAATACATCATTTTAATACTCTAAAATATAGGGGTTTTTGAAAACTAAACAATTCCTTATTTTCTGGCTGACCTTGCCTATTATGTTAACACTAAAATTACACTCTCATGTCTCTGGAAACAGTGTGCAAACCAAACACTTATGGAACACATAATTCAAGGAAATGAAAGGCCCAAAGCATCCTCTGTGACTCACCGTTGGTGTTCATCTGAAAACCTGTTGGGTCCACAATAACCCTTGGAAGCTCAACCAACAGTTTTTATCTATTCCAGCAAACACTAATGGCTTGTGATGACCCCATAAGGAAAACCACTTTCTCACTCTCTTGTCAGAATAACATAATGGTAGTGAATACGAGCAGCAAGAAACATTCACTGAATTTCTCCCTGCTCTGTAACTTGTATTTTGTTTTGCTTCTTTAAAGAGCCTAATGTTTTCCCAACCCATGTGCACAATTAGGGTGAACCAATCAGTATTGTTATTTTAAAGGTTACAGCCACCAGATGCATCCCAGGCCTCTAAACTTCCCAATGCCTCCATGATAGTGAATAAGGAGCATTTGTCCGTTCTAGTAAGTAAACAGTAGCAGCGTCTTAGCATCTATCCTATATCCTACTTCTCCCTACGATCAAAAGACTTGAGTTTGCAAAATAATGAAAAGTAATTACTAATCCATTATTAATAAACAGAAAAAAAAGAATTTTAAATGCAATAAAAAGGAATCTGGAAGTCTCATTTGTCCATTTGTAAAAACCACCAAAACAATTTAATAACCTATTAAATGCTTATGGAGGTAAAGGGCCAAAACAGGTATATCTCAAAACTAGCTGGTACTAAAAAGAGTTTTGTCTATGAAACACTGCTTTGTGTATTTGCACGTGGGCCAAAACAGCCCACAGCAAAACTATACAGAGCCTTTCAGGCTTGACACGCCTACTCTTCCTGCCTTAACTCCTTTCCACCCAGCCCAGTCTCCAGGCAGCGCCCGGGACCTCGCGGCACCAGTGAGCCCTTTACCCTACAAAGAGAGTTTGTGTCTCCCTCCTTCCAGACACCAAAACAAAACAGCGCCTCACGGTTAGCACTAGCCTCAGGGAGGTGAGGGCTTAATTAATGGGGCCTCACAAGACTAAGTCTCAAAGAAAACCCCAAGTTGTTCTGCCCTTGGCTGCAGGCAGCGTGGCAGGAAACACTGCGGGAAACGGTGATAAGGGGTTCTCCACCCAGTCTGTTGTCCACACTGAGGAAAGGGTGCTCCTGAACGCGGGAAGCCAAACGGCTAAACCTCAGAGCCTTAAAGGCCAGGCCTCGTTTTACAAACGAGGAGACTTTAGGCTCTCGGGCTGCAGCCCCACAAGTGGACAATTCTAGTTTGGTACCTACCGCCGAGGTCACCGGCGGCGGCTTTGGCCAGTTCCAGATTTCTGGCGATGATGGCCAGTCGGTAGCCTTTCTGAGCCATTAACTGGGCCACTGCCCTCCCAATGCCCCGGGAGCCTCCAAAAATAGCACAGACTTTGTCCATCTTGGACCGCGGAGTCGCAAACTCGGAGGAAGGAGGGCTAGCAGTGGCGGCCCCTATCCAGATTCCCTCGGGTTTTTAAGCCACTGCGGCTCCCCCCCCCCAAAAAACCGCCAGACAGCCTCGGAAAAAGCACCGCTTTACGCCTCCTGCCACCGGACTTTAGCTACCCAGAAGGCGGGGGAAGAGGCGCGAAGAGTATGACGTATACGCATCAACGTCAGCACGCACAGGCCTCCAGGCCCTGCGCCCTACGGGAGACACGGGCGTGAAAGAGCCCGAGCGATGAGGACTGACCTATTAGAGTTGCGCTGCATGCTGGGACTTGTAGTCTTCACGCAAGAATGGAAGAGGCAAGGGCGCAGTGCTCAGTGGGAAATGTACTCAAAGGAATCAAGGCGGGAGGGTACCTCCATACCCGTTGGGACCTGGCAGTCGGAATTAGAGTTCGGATGACCTATTGATTATCGTAATTAGAACCCAGAATATACATTATTCAGAGTTCCAATGTCTGCCTTTCATCCAGGATTTGTTTTTGGCTAGAGACTAGATGCCCTGCCTATTGAAGAAGTGATCGCCACGTACCAGAGTCATGCAAAATCTGTCCCTCCCCAAGTTGCAGACCTCACCCCATCTAGATACTACCCTTCATCTCAAAGGGTGTTGCAAAGGCAGATGCCCCATCAAGAACACCATGTATAGTAGGAACTCAAGAAACGTTAATTGAATGACTGAATAGTCTTGCAGGATGATGAAACAAGCATGGCTACTGCAAACACAAACAGGTTCCTACAATTTTAAAGAGGATGTGCTGAGTGTGCTGAGAGTTAATTAGCTAACAGTCAAGCGTTCCTTAAAAATTATACTGTTAAAAGGAAGCATTTCTTGATACAATTTTAATGCATTAGATGATTCAAAAAGTGGAAGCTTCATGGGCCCTGCTACTAAAAAATACACAACCTGGAACAACAGGACTAACACACACAAAACACTAGCTAGTAGTCGGAAACCATAAAGTGCAAAATGATATTAAAACAAGAGCGCAAAGAAAGGGGACAGATGGCAATGAAAAAATGCAGGAGTGCATGGAAAAGCTGGATTTGAGGACTGGATGCAGTTTGAATAAAAGGAAAAGAGGAAAAAAAACTATAAGCGAATTGACCATTATTTTTAAAATATTTGTATTCCATCTAGATCCAAAATGGATTTGAAATGGCTTGCAAAAATACACAAGTGAAACTTCACACTCTTTAGGATGGCTATTATCAACAACAACAAAAAAGAAAGACAGTAACAAGTGTTAGTGAGGACATGGGGAAATTGGCACTTTTCTACTCTGTTCCTGGGAATGTAAACATTAGCTTTGTAAAACAGCATCCTCCAAAGAATTAAAAATAGAATTACCTGGGCTCCTGGCTAGCTCAGTTGGTAGAGCATGCAACTCTTGATCTCAGGATTGTTAAGTTCAACTCCAGGTTGGGCATAGAGCCTACTTAAGAAAAATGAATAAAAATAGAATTACCATATAATCAAACAATTCCATTTCTGGATATATACCAAAAGAATTAAAGGCAGAAGCAGAATGTCAGAGGGATATTAGTATACCCATTTTCATAGCAGCCATTACTCACAATAGCTAAAAGTTCAAGCATCCCAAGTGATCTTCGACAGATGGATGGATAAGCAAAATGTGGTACACATACACACAATGGAATATTATTCAGGATTAAAAAGGAAAGAGATTCTGCAACATGTGACAACATGGATGAATTTTAAGGATATTATGATAAATGAAATAAGCAAGTTACAAAAGACAAATATTGTATGATTTCACTTATATGAGGTACTTAGAATCATGGAGACAGAAAGAATGGTGATTGCCAGAAGCTGGGGGGGGGGGGGGGGGAGGTTGGATGGAGAGTTATTGTTTAATGAGTATAATGTTTCAGTTTTGTAACATGGAGCATTCTGAAGAGCCATGGTGGTGACGGTTTCATAATATGGCTGTGCTTAATACTACTGAGCTGTACGGTTAAAATGGTTAAGATAGTAAAATTTATGTTGTGTGTATTTTACCACAATTTCTAAAATCAGGGGAAGAAACCTCAGCAATACAAATATTACCATCGACATCATGAACACTATATGCAGTTTAAGATTTCTTAATGGAGTTTTTTTTGTCCCTAAGGCATACGGCAATATTGTCAAAATACTGTAATTTAAGAGCCCTTCAAACATTTCTTTTCTGAAGAGTTATACCACAAACTTGATATCAGGTTATTTATAATTTTTTTAATGTTTATTTATTTATTTTGAGTGTGTGGGGGAGCATGCAGAGAAGGGGCAGAGAGGGAATCCCACGCAGATTCCAGCACAGAGCCTGACTCAGGGCTCAATCTCCTGAATTGTGAGATCATGACCTGAGCCAAAATCAAGAGTTGGATGCTTAACCAGCTGAGCCACCCAGGTGCTGCTGTAATTTTTAGAAATTACTTTATTTTTGTCATGTTTATTTAATTTTGTCTTTTAATTCTATAAAACATTTACATGGTGTTAAGTGTAAACCACAGAACAGGTACTTCAGGGAAGTATAGCTTTCATCCTTGCCCCTGTTTTCTGTTCTCTTCCTACCCCTATAAATGACATTTTTGTTAACTTTTTATTTATCCTTCCATTCTTTCTTTTTGAAAATATTAGAAAACACATGTGTTTCCTGTTTCACCCTCTTTCTTATACAGCAGGTTGTATTTATAGTATACACACCTTGGTTGTTTTGGGTTTTTTTCCAGCATAATAATATACCTTGGAGATCATTCCATAGCTGTGTACTGAGATCCTTCCCCATCCTTTTCAAAGCTGCATAGTCCACCATTATGGGGATTGTGATTGGCAGAATTCTATAGATGGCCCTCCCCCAAGACCCGCCCCCTCCCACCCCAGCTAGTCAACCAAACACTAATCTAGGAACCACTGTGAAAGGAATTTGAAGATGTAATTAAATCCCAACTCAATTAACCTTAAAATATGTAGAGTATCCAGGTAAGCCTAATCTAATCAGGTGAAACCGTTAAAAACAGAGCGTTTTTCTCTTGCTGGTGGCAGAACCAAATCAAAGACATTTGAAGCATGAAGGGGATTCGGAGCAGGAAAAGTGTTCCTGCTGGCCTCCAGACAGAAAGCAAACAGCTACACTGTGAACTGTGGATGGAGAGGGATAGCCTCTAGAGGCTGAGCTCAATCCTCAGTTAAGAACCTCAGTGCCACAGGTGCAAGGAAGTGAATTCTGCCAACAGTCTGTGAGCTTGGGAGAGAACCCCAAGCCTCAGCTGAGAATTGCAGCACGAGGCCACATCTAGACATCAAGTCTGAGACATGAGCAGAGGATCTAGCTACATGGTACCCCAGCCTCCTGACCCACGGAAAATGTTAGATTAATAAATGTGTGCTGCCTTTTTAAAAAACAAAACATGAGTACATGATTCTAAAAGATAGAGAACCACCCTCACCTGCCCCCTCCAAGGCCAGAACAAAAGCATGAGGTTTGTTGAAAAGCTATACAAATAAAACCACGCTCTAAGAATCTATTTAGTACTAAACAAGAATGGCATACGTGATTCCAAGTTTCCTAGTGGTTAAAGCAAGCAATGAAACACAATTAGTTACAAGTAGTAATTTTTATAAGAAGTAAAATCACAGAAATGCAGCATAGAGGTTGACGGGAAACTTCCTCCTCACAGATCCACATAAAGGGCACACAAAGGATTATAGTGGACTTTGTCATAAAATGTATATGTTAAGGCTATTTTTATAGTATCTATTGTTGTAAGCAGAGAACATAGCATCAAAACCCCTTTTAAAGAAAGTAAATACCATAGGAAGCTAAACAACATAAGCAAATATTTAAACACAAAGAATGAGTCTTTGTATATATGAAACAATGAGGGAATAAACCTGATTAGGGGGAAATTAGGATGATGCTGGATAATAGCAGGATTTAAAGCCAGAGGCTGGCATTAAATGAATCACTTTAACCAGAAGTCACAAGATAAAAGCTGCACCTAAAAACAAATCTAGTAATGATATCATGATGGGTTGTCCGATTTGTCTAAGCCCCTCTCCCACTACACACTCATCATATGTAATCTTGGAAAGGAAAAGCTCTTTTAGACAAATTACCAATATGTGGGTCAGCCTAAATGCCAGGTGTATTCTTGGCATCCAGCTTCACAGAGCAATTCACAGAGGTTCGGACTTTGTGGACAGTTCTGTCAATTTCATAGGAAAAGTGTTATATTTTTCTGCACACTGTTATGTTAGCAAAAAGCATGTTTTTACATCATTAACACACAATGCAAGGTGACATTCAGAATTCTCAAAACCTTCCAATTTTTCTCACTGTGCATATATGGTAATGGTAGGTAGAGCTTTTCTTTTGCCACTTAACTTCAGTTTAAACCCCAAAGCTATTATTTAATTTTTTCCCTCTTAATGTAATACCACTACTATCCTGAGTGAGAAAACACTTATCACAACATATCAGCCATTAGCCAGGTTGGTTATTGGCAGAGGAAGTCTCTCCCTAACGCCTTGATAGTGAACTGAGAGTCTGTAAATTAAATTGGGTCTCCTTTCCCCAGCAGAACACTGAAGAAAGCCAATGGGTCAATCCATCTTTAGTCCTTTCTCCTCATGACACCAGTCACTTTTGCAATAATACATTGACCATATTTTACACTTTTCTTTCATTTAAACCCCCATAAGAATGTATTTTCTCTTGACTCCCATTATCGGAAGCACCTTAGAAAATTCCTTATGTGTAAAG